TGGCCCTGGAGACCCCAAGCCATCCAACTTCAAAATGTCCGAGCAACTATGTCACTATGTCTTCAAAGATTTCGCTGACCAGTAAAGCAACCAAAGGTTGCAAATTGGGGTTTGTCAGCTGGGTCCCACCAAAAAGTAATCAAAGCACCACCACTTGCTGGCTTCAGGACGTATCCTGAGCCACGTGTCCGCAGAAAAAACCTCTGCGAACCGGCCCGCCTCGGCCCAAAAAGACTTGGTGCCCTGCTTCGCGTCCAGGTAGTACCTCAGTCACCAGATCTACACTAACCCTGAACATGGAGGTTTCAGCCACACAATATGTGCCTTTCTTAGTGTGAATGCTCTCAAGTTGCACTGCGGTCCTCAAATAGCAGGAATCATCAGGAATCTATACCGTGACATTGAACCTCAAACCATTGAAATTGAAACCAGCAAAGGTACAAAGTCAACCTTCTTCGCGAGGCCTAACAAAGTCACCATAGAGAAACCAAAAGTGGTGCGTCTACCAAAAGCTGCCCTTCGACCAAACTCCAAGCAAGGTGGATTGGTCACTCTTTTACTTGGTCACACATCCCTCAACTTCCAAGGGTAGAGTCTTGACCCCCATGCAATCCATGTTTGGGGGTTCAAATATATCAAGAATCTACATTGAACAACCAAGAGAAGGTGTTGGAAGTGGCTCATCGAAGTGGTTTCCCCATGGTTCCGTGGGCTATGCGCCGCGGCCGTTCGATGGTCTTCCAAGATGCCCAAGGCCCTTGGGGCCCATCTTGAAGGCATAGCCAGGCCTAGGGACGCCCCGTGGGTGGAGCGAGTCGTGGAGGAACGGAACGGGGACATGGAAACCCAACGGGGACGGAGCTGTGATCTTTTTGCTGAAGACCATTTTTGTCATAGACCGTCCACTTTGCCGATTTATTACGATTTATCCCAAGCAAGTGGACCGTCCGTAGCCCTCGGATTGGCTCCGCAAGGCTTGTGAGGAGCTGGTGGATCAAATGAAGATACTTGAAGGCCATGCCGGTTTAGTGCAAACAGCCACGAGGAAGCACGAGGGCATCCGAGACGAAACCACTGGCCAAGCTGCCAAGCTATTCATTTTGATGGCTTTTTTTGGAAGCAGGATTCTGTTCTTTCTCAACCCAGCTTCCACAAGTGAAGTTTGCACTTATATAAGAGATCATAAGTGGGTTTGAGTGTCACATCCATACTCCAAGTGTTTCTCTGATGTCAAACCTCACTGCAGGGCGTTCTTCTTTCCCGCACCTTCTTATATCGGCTCAGGCTCTGATTTGTGCGGGATACTGTTCAGGGTTGTCCATCAAATCCAGACATGTGAACAAAACAAATATCCTCGCATTAAAAAAAATAAATAAATACATAGTTATACATATAGTATATATATATATACATACAGTACATGGATGTTTCCAAAACGTCAAGTGAATAACTCCCATCCCGCAAAAGCAGGTGTCCGGGCCGGGGCTCCTTGGAAGCTCTCGGAGGCCTCGAACATCCGCCATTTTAAGGAGATTCCAGAGTGGCAACCCCCCTTGTCGTGTTTTTTATGACCCTAAGCCCTACATAGAAAACGAGGAATTGTTGTTAAAGCATGGGACTATTATGGAACAAGTGGTCAAGAGCAAAACTAGACACATAACAAACGCTCTTGTTGGCGAAAGGACTGCTAATATAGTGGTTTGGTATGGCATGGTTTCCTCTCTTCCGGGAGGACTGTGAAACAAATGTCTACCTTCAACCATCGTCTACAACCTGTGGAGAACTGGGGGTGCCTTCTGACCGTGCTGCAAATGAAGCAATGGACGATGATCGTGACAAAAGTACCACAAAGGGCCATGCAAGTGATTCCAAAAACAAAGGTTTGCCAGCCATGGCCAGAATATGGCGAGTCCGAATCCCAAAGAGTCTTGCTACAATACGATGTTATCCTTCAAACAAGCCGTGGACTTGCAGAACGCAGAACATGAACATGGCACACACCTAGATGTCTGTGGATGTCTTGACCACCACGGACATCAACGCCAACACGCCCAACTGCGGCCCAAAGCACCTGGAAGTCATTCTCGGCCTGGCGTGGCACGTGCACAAGAATTGACGGCAGCCAATCCGGGATGAGCTCGATCTGTTTCGATCTCACAGGCTGAAAGGGCATGGGGGGGCCCTATTTTCCTCAACACGGGTAAGCGTTTAATACATAAACTAATACATACACACCAGGTCACATATCCTTGGCATAATTGTAGCTTCTACAGTTTGTCAGCTGCAGGGTGCAATCCAACCAGTGGCACAGCAAGAAGGTACATGATATCATCGCAAAGCTCGGATCGAATTCCTCCGCCATCAAGCAGCTTCTTCACTCCTGGCAAGTCTCATGGAGAAGAAGCTGCTTCCAAGTCAGGCGGGCGCAATACTACTTCTACTACCTATATATATATATTGTAAAGTGAATAATAACAAGAAAACACACATATGTTCACTTATGTATATAGTTATATAGCGACGGACATATACTTGGAATAAAACACATTTCCAAAACAACATCTCGTCACTTAGAACATGCATGTTCTAAGTGTACACTTGGAACATCCATCAAAGCAGAACTGAAGACACTTGGAACATCCGTCTGAGCAGAACTGAAGTGATGACATCCAAATAGCTGGATTTTTAAATATATATATATATATATTACTATATGTTGGAGAGGGTGCTGCAGGTGGGGCGAGGCTCATTCCTCAAAAGTTGGTATTTGTATGAATGTTCTAAGTGTATGTTTAATGTCCAGTGCTAAGATGTTCTAAAAGAAGGTTTGCCCATGTTCTAAGAACTTTTACCTGTAAATGGTGCTCATTTTTCCAAAACTTGTTCAAAGTGATTGTCCGAGACTATGTATATATACACATATTATTTATGTATACAGTACACCCGTGCAGCCTACATGCCTAGGGCTTTCCCTACAGTATGTCGTAAGTTCCCTGCTATGCACCCATGATGAGAATTTAATTGGATAAACAGCCTGAACCTTGGGGTGCCCGTCAGCATGAGCTCAAATCGATCCAAGCTGCACCAGTTTGAGCTCACTCCAGCTAGCCATCCCAGCAATCCCAGCTATCCACGTCTGGTGCATCCCTGAAAAAGGTTCCGAACATGCCTGCGAACTGTGATCAGTACAGTGTGGACTCTTGATCAATAAAATCCGCCCAAACATGGATGGTAACACCCAAATTCATAGATGTGTTTTTCCCATAATCCAACTTGAGACTCTGCACATCATCATTGCTAACACAGAGACAGCGAGATTATGACATATAATATATATATATATGTATACATTACTGTTGGTTATATAGTAATAATAGTAATGACAATAATACTATATAATATGCAAAACACATTGGAATGGTCAGTTATATATGGTATTCATATGATCGCTGTTCCCCTCCGTGAATCGCCTCGAACGTTTGGCCCCTGCCCGTCTGCGTCTGTCCTGTGCCGGACAGTTCCTCCTCCGGTCTCACTGCGGTGTCCAGCGGGAAGTAGGTCCCATGAGCGGATGGGCGCCTATATATGTGGTGGGGATGGGCTCTGACCCCGAGTCATCCTGAGAAAAATGAGAAACTCCGAACAACTCGTGAGGTCAGGTCTGGAGACTGATCGCTACTTCTACAACAAGAACTGTGTGAACTGCTGCACTTCTCCTGATCATTACTGTGGTCTTTGGCTGTTGCTTGGCTCGGCCCCACGATTGCTAACAACCAGAGTCAGAAGAGACGAGACCTCCACAAATTCAAATTGACAAATCCGAGCTTTACTGATGATGAATTCTGCCAGGGTCACTCGAACTGCCCGGGTCTCTTGAACTGCCCCTTTTCAATGCCGTGTGTTGGGCAATCACTCGCCGGACAAGTCACTTAGCAGTGGAGCAAAAGAGAATGGCAACTGAATGACACTGGCACGCTGCATGCCTATTCCCTTTCAAACTCCGGACGCTTGGGTCAAGTTCTCAGGGCCTTACATGGATGCCGTGATTTCAGCCAAGAGTCCGAAAAAAAAAAAAGAGGTTACTGTATATTATAAAAGGTTAAAGGTTCCCGAATATCAAGGTAAATTCTGTAATTGGTTACATGGTCAAATGTACATACTGATTCTTGCACGCGCACAAACAAGAAGGCACATGTTGGGTGATGGCGACTGCACATATTCTTGACGACGTCTGCTTGCCATGCCACGCCATGTTGGAGGATATATGGTAACCATGTAGTAGAATAGCACATTGCTTTGTAGAGATTTCTCAACCACACTCCCTGCAAATCTAAGGAAAGCCGTCAATCCTCCCCAAAAGGCATTTGAATATTCATTATGCGAGAAGCATGGGAAAGTCAGTGGCATTCGCTTTGCAATGGTCTAATCATATCTAATCGTGGTGTTCATCGTGGTGAGAAAAGCCAGCGAACCACTTCACAAACGCACTCCCAGACCTGGTAAAGGAAACGATTGTCATTGTCATTGTTTGTCTTCCCTACTGCTTGAGCCTTGCATCTGTTTTTGTCTCTAAATGGCCATCAACGAAGCCACTGCTTTGGGGGGTCTCACCCGACCGAGACATGACCCAGGACTGCCAGTGGCATTTGCGGCCGCGTTTTTCGCCCTGTTTCACATCGCAAAGCAGCATGGCACCCAGCCATGGTCACCCCACAGGCAAAGAAACATGGAGATGCCAAGCAAAGCTGGCAAGAAGAACAATTGGTTGAGATGAGATGTTCGGTGATAGCTGGGGGGTTCTTCGAAAGACAAATTCTGATGATGTTGGCCGATGATGATGATCGTAAATCAACCGGATGATAAAAGGACTGCAAAAGGGCTTCCACCATGGCAATTCTCATAGCATTCAGATTCGGGTCATATCAGCAGGGAAGCCCTGAAATGATCCCAAAACATGCAGAAAAACTTTGGAAATGTTGGCACGAATCCACAAAATGATGCCATGACCCTGTGCCCCCATGAGATTCCAAATGTCTGTCGGTGGGAGCCTCTGGCAAGCCTAGCCTGGAATCTTGCAAGAACTCCAATCATTGACTGTGATGTTCTGGCGGGCAGCATGGCATCCCAGTCAACATTCATCGCAGCGGTAGCATTCCTCGAAACAACATGCTCTAAGTCTTAGAGCTTCGGCAAGTGTAGCATGTCCAAACACCTGCACCACACATACTATGTTAACGATCCTTGGCTCAATGTGAATCAATGTTGCCTGCTTTGAGGTCCCCAATCGCCACCAAAGGGTCAGGCATTCCACCCCAGTCATGGGATGACCCATCGCCCAGTCAGCAAGCGGCAAGGGACCTGGGAAAGCAATGACCAAAAACAAAAAGAACGCAAGGATCGAACCATTGAGACAGCACTAGTATCGCACTAGCATAGCAGATCATAGCAGTATAATGTAAGGTTGACATGGCTTCACCATGGTTCACGTGTCATTCTCCTGCCGGGTGGTTCTTCCAAAACGACACCAAAACAACAAAACAGCACGATCGAATTGTTGATCCCACTGACCCTGCACGTTTTTCGGCGTGGTGGCCTCCGCAACTCAGGCCCCGCCAGAGGTGGGGGCAGAGCGCGCCACATGATCCTGCCAGAGGTCCTTCTGATGCGTGGCCGTAATCGTCTCCTGGCGAGTCGAATGGAGAAAAAGCAGGAAAAAACATCAACACATGACAGCGTCAGCCATGACAGTAATGGTAGGATAACTCTATTCTTTCATGGGTCGGTCCAACGCCTGCGAAAGAACTTCTTAAAAGGGGCCCTGACTCTCGCCCAAGCAATTCAGCTGCTTCGAGCTACCTTCCTGGTATTCGAAAGAAACCCAGGGCCCTGGTGCAAAATCAAGACCCAAACTGTAGTCGATCGATTGGCCCTAGAGATGGTCGGTCGCCCCTCCACGTCCAGGTGGCAGCGACGGTCGTTGGAGGGACTGCAAACGAACAACCAAGGTGTCTTTTTTTGATGGAGACAAATGGAGACCAGTATCGAGTACTTTTGTCCAGGTGGTAGGACTAGTGACCAGATAGCCCTGGACATCCTGGGTCTCTACATGCCGAAGAACTCTCAATTCCGCACTCAAACCTGGTGAGTCGAACGCTCAACCCATGAGGATCTGACCCTTCATCGCCACTCCTCGATGGTGCCCCTGGCCACCAACCTCCAGCAATGCACCTGAGAGCTCACCGGGTCGGACACCGTGGAACGCCGGGAGTGGAGGCACGTAAGAAGGCTTCGACATGATGAAGACCGACTTCGAATTCATCACGTCAACATACTTCAACCAATTAGATGGAAGGTTTCTTAAAACTACCAGTGTTCTGACATGTGGAGCAAGTGAATCTTCCATGGCTCCAGTCATTCACATCGATCAATCGCCCTCTACGCCAAATCTTCACTCCGTCCACGGTCTAGGCGCTGTCTTCTCTTGCCCGTAGCGCCGGCAGCGCGCAATGGCCTGGGCTTCGTATGCAACGGCCTTCTCCGGTGAGGCCGCGTGCATCGGATGGACGAACACGACCTCGGTGGAGCGACTGGATGCCGCAAAAGGCGAAGGTCACAGGTCCCGGTATAGGCACAAACTTGGCCTTTCTTAGAGTCTAAATGGCAAGAAGGATCAAGAAGGGCTTTAGAGAGTGCCAATCTCTTTATCATATCTTTGTGCTCCACGACAGCAGTCAGTGGAGATGCACTACCAGTGCTTATGTTTATGCCTGTTCTTCCTTTAGGCCAACAGCCCGGCAGAAGCCAGGCTTCTTCAACCGAGGCAAATGACACCATGTGCTTTTGCAAGATTCAGGTGTGATGCCAATAGCAAGGAAGCCATGGAAACAAGGGTAGCGCTCTCATCACCGAGCTTTCTCTTCACACAACCTGTTGCTGGGAGAAGTCTTCAGGACCACTATACCTGACATAGGAAACATCAAGAATCTTGGCACGGATGTCATGCTTATATACAGTATATTTTTATTATCTGATATGTTATGTTATGTTACAATAGCATGTCATAGTACAATTTGAATTATATCAATTGTTATTATATAGCACAACCCACCCGGACCAATCTCCATCGTCGTGCAAGTGTTCCAGAAAATGATAAAGCACCCCTACCCCCTACCCTCAATCAAGCTAGCTGTTTTCAGCTTTAGGTCAGTTTATCCTGATCAGCCCCACCAGAAACCTCCAAAACCGAAAACAATCCAAGTCACATGATTTGCAGCAGTGAGGTTTGTTCCACTTGCAGCATGCTCCAGTGAAAGCAACAGCACACGCACAGCCGATTCGTGGCTTTCCTCCTTCGGCAGAGAATAAACTTGGACTGTGAACTACCTGCCATGAAAATTGAACATTGTCCTTCTTGGGCATCCATCCATGTGGAAAGAAGTCAAATCCCCGCGCTCGAAACATGCCCTGCGAGATTCCCCCCCGAGTCCGAAAGGGTCCTGGAACCTCCGAAGGATCTCAGCGCGTTGGAAGAGGTTCCCAATGAGCTGGAAGTGGGGAACGCCCATGGACTGCAAGGTGTCCTCAACCCCATCCGTTCGCGGTGTGTCTCCGCCATTTCACGCCGATCCCCATGCCGTTCACGAATTTTCCGTGTGGCGGTCCGTGGAAGGGCAAGAATTCTGCGAGCAAATGGTTCAAAGTTATTTGGAATTGGCAGGGTTGACTCAGAATGATCAAAAACCGGCTGATTTGATTGGGAGGTACCTTGAACCGAAAATTGACTTCTAGCAATACATCCCCACCAAGGAGAGACACACCACGTGTGATAGATTCAGAGATGTTCAGAGCAAACGCCCCCCCCCCAATAAAAAACACAACACGGTTCTACCATTGAAACCACCCATCTGCAAATACGATAGAAGTAACTATAGACAAGGCCATGTCCAGGTCGCTGAGATGTGCTTCTTCAAGTCTTCCCACTGACAAAAGACCAGCACTTTCTCACCTGACATGCCCACTTTTCCATGCCCACGTGAACTCGTGCGACGCGCGACGGGCCATGCACCAGACGCTTCCTTCTTGGTTGAACAGCCAACTCCAAAGCTACAACTCCGAAAGATAAAACTATAATCATGTAGGTGTTGATTACAGATTGCCCTTTGGACAATAACAACATCCACGTGTAGCGAAGCTTGCACAGGTACGGGCACAGCCTGGACTCAAATATCTTCAAGGCCAACATGGGGGGCAACATGGGCTATTGTGCGGAGGTTTGCATGCTTTGTGGCAACATAATGCTGCTCGAAACAAACCTTGCCCGGTCCATAAACCACACAGGTCTGAAACATGATTCCCGTTGCTTTATACGGACGCTTCACCTGAAACAGCGTCCTTGTTGTGTTGAGGGTCAGAATTGGTTTCGCTGGAGACTAAGCACACAGGCCTAGCAAAGTCATTGGCACAGGCCCTCACCTCTGCGACTAAACCTGATAGATTAAGGACTGTGCCAAATAATGTGCTTGCGAAATGTGCGCACGGCCAAACCTAAAATCGATCCTACAAACAGACCTCAAAGACAAGCTTCCTCCAAAAAGCAGTAGTATACACGTGGGGATTCCATGCACAGTTGTTCACAAGGAAACAAATCAGTGACGCTGTTTGTGTTCAAGGCTGGGTGGCACCAAGTTCTTGCGGTGTAGCTTCAGTGACCAAGATCTATATGATGGCTGTGGTGGGACAAAGCCAGGAGACCTTTCTTGACCTACCTGGAAGGTCAAGCTGCATGGTGTTGACGCTCCAAAGCTTTGATCCATCCCCACATGCGTCCACGCGACCAGCACTGATACTCTGCAGGTGCACTGCTAAAGCGGCAAGTTTGCTTCCTGCCTCCATCGGTGAGCACTGTGACTTGGCCGACCAGTAAGGGGAGTGACACACCTTGCGGTCCATGACGGTAGACCCTTTCATCTTCCTACGTCTGGCGGTTGTGCCGTTGCATGACTCGACAGTCAGTGAAATGACTTTCGTCACAACAACAGGTCCCGACAGGTCCCAGGAAATAGGCTGCTCACTGGAGCATCTCGGATCTCCGAAGAGCCTTCTTTCGCCCGGAAACGCTGCCGACGTCCAGCTGTCCATCAAAACTGAGAGCACAAGAGAAAGGTTCCTACCAGAGCCCCCCCAAACAGGTGTCCAATAATAGCTCCTTATGAGGTTAATGGGTGTCTATTAGCCACCTGGTAGGGGTCCCTGGATGTCCCTGGGTGCCCACAAACATCCACCGTAGGATGCGAGCTTCGGACCGAGCTTCAGACCGCTGCACCCGTCGCCGCGAAGCTTGGCCTTCTTGGAAGTCTCCGAGGTGTCACTGCTGAGCCGGCGCTTCTGGCCTGAAGAGCCAAGAGCGGCAGCAGGCGCTGAAATCGGAGCCCGAATTCAGGCGGAAAACTCCCTAGATGAACATTCTATCTCTCCTGAATGGCAAATGACGAAGAATTCTACAAAAGGATTGCGCCACCTGACCCCTGAACCTGTCGATCTTGCCCTCGACTGCTCCATTCTCAGATGTCTTCATCTAACCTTAATCTGTTTTCAGAATACATGCTCCATTCAGTTGGGCCAACCCCTGTAATCCAATTGATTGTCTCTAAGTATACCTCTTTCATCACTGGTTCCGAGACTGGACATGGTACGTAACAAGATGGTGTGGTACCATGCATTCTTTGAAACATCCTCTGCACACCGATGTAAGCTCGCTCTGTCGCCTTTATCGCTGCGCACCGCCGGCAGCGCGGGCGCAAGCTCGGCTGCCAGCGAGGTGACCTTGTTCTTCCCCGTCAGGCCATGGCGGCACACCTCGGAATGGAGGAAGGGCAAGACACGGCTCGGACATGCTCGGACTGCTGGGATCAACAAGGCATTCATATGTGTTCAAACTGTTCATGTGATCTACACTCAGCATCTTCTCCTGCACTGGTAGGGCCTTGGTTCTTCTGTGCTTTGGGCAATGGCACTTCGACCAAGCATCTACTACTGATCTAGCTAGGTCACCTCAACTCCTTCACCTTCAGGCCCACAGGTGCACTGAGCCAAAGCACGGGGCAGGTCCCAAAGTGTTTCACCACCTCATTGAGGCAGTCGGTGTGGAAGACATGCGCGCACACGGTGATGGACAGCTGGTCCTGGCCGGGACTCAGATGGGCTTCCCAACTCAGCAACGCCCTTCGCGACAAATGCCTACCATGGAGGGCGCAGGAGGCGGGGCGACATGCGCCGCCGCGGGATCGTGTTGTGCAACCGAGATGGTATGGATCGTAGCCGACAGTGGATCCACCTGAGACCGGTCCGGCCGTACACCGCTCCAATCCCATCGTATCCATCTAACTTCATCCCACATCTCTGTTCCATACCATCCGCTCCCATATCCCTTTTCAACCCATCATCCCTTACCTACTACAGGCCCGTGACTCATCCAAGCCTCTCCCCATCCCCCCAAAAACATCCAAAAACCAGAAACTTCCTCCGGCCCAGCCCTGCGGCCCTGCCCCACCTCCGTCAAATCCTCCTCCAGGCAAATGCTGCACGACCGCTGCTCCGCCGAGGCTTCACCCCGGGCGGCCGCCAGGGTCCGCTTGAAGAACCTCGTCCGCCAGGAAAGCGCGGTGCGCGAAGCGATGCGTTGCGCTCGGTCCGGTTTAAGAGGGGCTATTTGGCGATTACACATCCAAAGCAATTCAAAACATCCCACAAAAACTTTCGATCTCATTTGTTCATCCAAGAAAACTCTAGTTTTGACGATTCTCTTTTGGTTGTTTTGAAATGGTCTGTTCAAAGCACCGAACTGTCCAAGCACCAAACGGCTCGCGTCGCCAGGCTGCTCGACCGATCTCTGAGCGGAAAGAGCTGTTTGGGCAGCGGAGACCATTCGGCCTGCGGTGCATCAGATCGAAGGTTTCGACCTTCTGCAACGAAGAAGTTTCTTCCAACAAATGGCCAACTACCTGGCAAAGGAATATTGAATAGTACAGACATTACATTCCTTCCGTTGTACGCAACACCCAAAACCATGAACTTGAGGTTTGCCCACACGACGTCGCTTCTCATTCTATTTGTTCAGAACTTTCCTGCTTGGGAGCTGCTTCTGTTCGGCCATGTTGGCACTCAGCAGCCTGTGTCGACACAGGGCGCCCACCGCGAAGCAAGCAGCGCCGCGCCTTTGGCCGCCTCCCGGGCGGACGCGAGGTCAGAGATCTCGAGCGGCTTTCCACTGAGGCGCTGCAGCTGTCCGGGCGGCATCCTGGAGGCCTCTGGAAAAAAGGGGTGACGAGAAGGACGAGAAAGGTGGAGAATTCAAAAAAAAACTACATTGGACTCATATGGACTCATTATAATGGACCTGTATTTGCAAACTGCAGCTTAGAAAGGAATGGACAGAAAGGAAAAATCTTGTGTTTTGAGGCACCGGTGGCGGCTAGCTCCATCCTGCAAACTATGAGCGAAAATCGTCAGGGACACGGCTGTTAGGGTATTAGAACTTCTGATCGCACATCGGCTGGTTGTGGGATAAAACCCTCTGTACAAACCGTATAAGTACTTGCGTTCTAGGGGAGGCCCTCCAGCATAGCGTAGGCAAAAAACAGGCCTCCAGCAGAACAGTTGCCGCAAGGGAGACCTCGGTGCAGCTCACAGCTGGGCCCGTGTACAGTAGTACAGGATGAATTTTTCACCAGTGGAGGGAAGAAACCAACACAAACCTTCAAAAAGGCGTGGCTGGCAAGGTCCGGACAAGCAATTGTCCAGCTCTTCTCACAACTCAAATGGAAGTCCACTAGTCCCAAACCTGGGCTGTCTGGGGTGTTTGCTGCTACGTCATGGCACTTCTTTTCGATGGTCCTTTCAACGAGTCACAATGGAACTCTTCCAAAGCCCAGCCAGTAGACCTTCCACTTTTGTAAAATCTCCCTCCCTCTCACCCCCTTTTGAGGCTCAAGGTGTCAGTTTCCACCACCACCTCCTGCCCTGCGGCCACCGGAGAAGAAAACGAACGGCTCAAAGTCCAGGTGCCCACCTGCCGCTGTGGTCAGGGCGGTGAACACCGCCTTTCCAAGGCTTCCAAATGCCCATTTCCCCATCTCAGTTTAAGGAACATTGCTTTTGTGGATCTGCAATCATGTGCATTGGAAATGATTGGAATGCTAGGTTCAAGCGGTCTCTCGTATGATTCGTATGTACTTTTGTATGTATATATCCTTTTGCTCTCAGTTCCCAACGGCTCCGTGTCGGGTTCAGGTTCCCCGGTAGGGAAAATATACCAATCCAAAACTGGGAGGTCCGGGCAGTTTACAGCTGACTTAACGGCTTCTACACTGCACTGAAGAGAAAAAACAACATCATGGCTGGCCCAGTCCGGATGGCCTCCGCCACCTTGGCATCGCCTTCAGCTCCCGCAGCTCCCAGTTCGGCCGAATCGACGCCAAGCGAGCGGCAAACGTCCTGCTGATCCGAGTGGCGATACTGCGCAGCGTCCAACCTGTACGAGATGCAGAGGTGAGCAGAAGTGAGACCAATGGCATCATCCAAAGAATTCCGGTAGATCATGTGGTCACACATCAAACAACCCAGACTTGGAATCAACTAGGAGTGCTCTTGCAAAAACCTTGGATGGACCGGAAAACAAAGGGTGACCATCAGTTTCCCTTGCATTAAGGACATCAGGGTCTGGATTCCGGAATCACACTGAAATTGGTTGCCACGAGCCTTTACAATTAACAACTACGGAGCGCGCTTGGTGTGCAACAGCGGGCTGAGTCCCGGCTATCCCGCGATCCGTTCTGAGGATCCTTCACATGGAAAGGATTCAATCCAGGAGGCTGCCAGGAGGCTACATCTTAATTTCTTGGGTGATCGCGGTCAGTAAAGGCCTTTCCCAAAATAGTGACCATCTTTTAGCGACTTCTATAGTGGTCATGGATGGGGTGGCATGTCAACTAGCCCGGTCTCGGAGTCTCTGCAGGTGGTGCACTTTCTGCAGGTGGTGCACCACGGAGAAACATCTGGGGATGGCTGTCAGATCCATGGCCCTCTGGATGTCGGACATATAGGTCATGGCTTAGTGGACTGTCTCGTGGTCGGGTCCCATGCAGCAATGCTTTCAACAGAAGACCCAGGTGCACTTGGTCAAACCTGTCCTGGCCCTGCTGAGAAAGGCAGCTTTCAGATTTTTGATCTTCAGTCCACACCACTGGCCTCTGCCAAAGCAGTTCCAACTGGACGGCCCGTTGCAAGGCCACGTTGTAGGTCTTTTTGGCATGCTCCTTAGAGGATGGATGCAGGAGCAACTGGGCACGTGCCCATTCCAAACAAAGCCGGACGGCCTAGCAAGTGATCCGTGAAAGTGAAAGCGATCGGATGCGTCGCATTGGACACTGCCCGATTCTCAAACTTCCCGCCATTCTTCCTGGCTTTGGGACGTGTGTGACGTGTCTTTGTCCACGTAACGACTACCATTCTCCGGCCTCGTTCTATACTTATTCATGGCTCACTGCGTCCTAGCTGCCATGCAAAGAAAAACATCTTTTCCAACAATGCTGATTTTGTCTGCGGGTATTACAACCTCCAAACACTCTTCTCGCATGACATGAGATTTCAAGCAAAAGGCCCTTGACTTGCAAATGGAGGTTTACCAATTCAATGGCAAATACTATATAAATACCCCTCGAATAGCCAGCCATAGGGTCTCAAGTCCTACCACAAAGAAGGGCACCAAGCTCCTAACCAAGCTTGACAAGTGACAAGAGAAAACACCAAGCGGATCATTTCCACATGCCACAGCCCAAACGCGCCGCTCCTGCTTGGTGGAGATGATGCGATGGCATTCGCCCGTCGCGTCGGCTGCGGCGGTTGCGAGGCCACAGTAGGCCGCGAAATGGGAGCAAAGCTTGATGAGGCGTTCCTCAGAAACCACAACTATATACTCGGGAAACAATGCAAAGTCAATGTGAATCGATCGATCAATAATGCCCCCCCAAAAAAATGAATAAAGAATCACAGAAACGGAGCCCTGGTCACATTCCTCAAGCAACAAGTGGTTCTACACCCAGCCAGCGTCTTGTGACGCCCTGGTGACGGTGGAGGCCCTCCACGTTGCCAGCGTCGGAACGTGGAACGTCATGAGGCCCTCCACTGCGTCTAGGCCTCTATAGATTTTGTGGGGTTTTATCAAGAAGCCACAAGGGTCTTGTATTGGCATTGCCTCCGCCGCATGCAACAAAGCCTCCAAGCTAAATGGAAACCACCAGCTACAGTAGATCCAGGTAGGTTTGATTATTGAATGAGACGGAGCAAAATGCGGATTGCCAGAAGGAAGGCTTACTCCACTCACGGAATTGTCCGAGAATCTTTTAACTTCGAGGTCTGTTCTTTGCAGTTCATGCTTAGAAGAAGGACCCCAAGTTCGTGAGCCTGCCCCGCTTGACACGCTTAGACACCCTGACAACCTCTCGGGCTGTGACGGTTGACATTCTATGCACCCAAGAGGGGGGGGGGGGCTATACTAAATTAACAAATATCTTGGGAGGCACCGCAATCATGGCCAGAAAATCCCATGAACTCCCACGGTGATGTTGTCAGCCAAGGGGCAGCCCTGTCTTCATCCGTGAGTGCGCCAGAAGCATCTGAGACATCGCGGGAGCATTGCAAATAGATGGCACGCTCCTGGCGATGTTGGTGGAGCCCACTTGGTGGAAGAAAATCACAAGGGCAAACAGCAGCACCTGGAATTACCAAACCACCATGCAACATTGTTCCACCTGATGCCTGAGATACATAAAACCATCTACAACCACGCAATTATTTTGCAGGTGTGGGGCAAGGAGTCAACAGAACTATTTGCAAAGCACCCAGAGGACCATACCAGAACCATTGGTGAAATTGCTAAGGAGTAGTTCCTCTAAGGAGTAGTGTCACTACCTGCTTCTGTCCCAACTTCGATCAATCTGTGCCACTGGGGTTCACAGCATGTGAGAACACGCGTTTTCAAAACGACCAGCTGGGTCTGAGCAGCTGCGGAATTGGAAGCAGCCAGTACCAGTGACGGGCTTGGAACCAAGTGCCTTGGGTTACTTAACGGTTACTTTCTCAGAAGCATTCGATCAACGCAGGCGTCACGTGCAAAGAGAAACACCGATGCAACTGGGAATCCAATCAGAAACGTCACCCGGGAATCTTGGTCACCTGGGTCAAGGCCAAAACCAGTGCCACAGTAGTCATAGGTAGCTTTCCGGATGGCCGTCGTTGTGACATGTTGGGACTGTAAACCCGAGGGCGTAGCATGCGCTCCAAATCCAGTTGCATTCCATCCGCAATGAATGCACTGCAAATAAACAAAACATAAGGAGTGTGGTGCTGTTACGTTCGCAGCCCTTTTCAGAAAATTGACTTGCATCCTTAGCACCAGCAATGACCTGCAGGAACAAAGAACGCGAGTGCCGCCACCCGTTGATTGGCTGCTACTTTACTTTGCGGCATACCTATACTGCCAGGTGGGCCAACCTGAACCTGACTTATTGACTCAAAAGGGCATGGGTTTTCAATGGCTTACAATGGCAACGGCAACTCTATATTATGTGCTGGAGGTTTGATAGAACAAACACCCAACAAATGAGCTCAATGAATGTCACTGAGCTTTAGGGCTCTAGGACTCTAGGGTCAAGCTTCTTTCCCGAACCGGATCTTTCCTTTGAAAGCCACTCCCATCCCCACCCCATCTTCCAAAGCAGATCCTCTGGAGTTGGATCCACAACCAAGATGTGCTCCTTCAATGGCACCGGTGTCACCTGCAAAAACATCCAACGCAACCGCCTGAAGGAGCGTGATGCATATGGGCAAGAGGCCTTAAGGTGTGTGCTCTGCTCACCAAAAAGTGGGCCTGCCTTGTGGATTGAAAGTTTAGCGGTTTAGCGTTTATAAGGGCTAAGGGTTTAGATGGAGAGAGCATTGTGATGGAGAGATACGCTGCCTCACAACCGCGCAATATGCCAAAAAAAGAGGTATACAAATTTTAAAAAATAAACATGGTCCACGTCACATTGATCAATTCCAAGGCTCTCCCATTACCATCAGAAGCAACAACTCCAAGCATCTCAACTTTCACCCTTCTGCCACTCTTCACGGTGCCCAATGGGTTCCATTGAGGAACATTCCACAACCAGAACTGACGAACGTCCCCCACGCTCCACATCGACGGTGACCTCTTCGCTGGTATTCTGGCGCGCGAAGTGATCCAAGAAGTGTTGGCACATCTCCTGGAAATTGGTCACCAAATGGGTCATCCCCCAATGTGTTCGCTCATGTTGTGTCCAGGTGGGGGAGGTGTCCTTAAGATGAGCTTGGATCTGCCAAATCAGAGCATCCAGCGGGTCATGGTAGTGAATGTGAGCTTGAGAAAAACAAAACCCGATTGTGTTAAAAGCAGGGCACACTCACCGCCTGGCTCAAAAAAAGTACACAACATCGGCATGTTAGTGTTGGGTTACCTGGCGATCCATTTGCTGCAATAATGTGTTAACAATTTGTTCCGTACGGATTGAATACCAATGCCTGGCAAGAGGTGAGAATTTGCTGGCACCTCACCATGTGCCTAGGCTATACGGCTATACTTTGAGAAGATTGAGAAGGCCGCCTCCGCACATGTCCACACTAGAATCCATCCAAGAATCCGTCTTTGCTATAGGCTACGCGTCCAAAATGCACCTATGAGTCCATGACATCAGGCAAGAGGCCTCCAGAAAGTCTCACAACATCAAAAAGGCCTCGAGAGATTCAACATGTCTTTCTATAATTGCATGTAAACCAACCACCTTTGGACGTTCTTTCTCGGTCTCCTGAGCCAGGTCTGTACGGTAGGCGCTTGGAGGCTTCTCCTCCAGCGGCAAATGCCCCAAGTGGAAGATCTGGGCGAGCGTCGCCACCTGGCGAGGGAGCGAATGACAAAGACATTGGAGTGTGGGACATGGCACCAGGATACCTTGGTAACACCTGCCTTTAAGGTCAAGAAAAAAACTAAGCTACATGGCGTTCGGTCTCCAGGTTTTGACATGTTTTGACTCATCCCCATTGGACTGGTACACTTAGATGCACTTGCTTGGTGATTGAGGCACTTAGGGCCTTCGTGCAAAATGGAGGATGTGAACATGTTCTTTTTTCATTCTTCGTCCGTTGCTGACTATAAAGGAGTTCTAGTCGGCAATTGACATTAGCAAGTAGAACCCAATTGAGAGCAGTTTTTGTTTGATCAGATTCAGATCGCTTTGCTCGAAAGGTCAAGCTATCTTGGCATGCACAGCAAGAACTACTGTCAAGGGCCTGCGCAGTCTAGGCGTAAAACAAAGCAACATCACGCAACATGCTACCTCCCACAAGGATGTCTATTTAGGAGAGTCTGAATAACTATACAGCCTACAGCTATAACTGTATATATATATATATTGGAGAGTCTATGGCCACACATAAACACGTTTGCAGCAAGTGAAATCACATGAATTATATGCCAGCATCCCCCAAGTGCACTTGGACCCCACCAACATCTCCGCCGCTTTCTCGGCTTCCGTCCGAAAAGGCTCTGCCACCTGCGACAAGTCTCGTGTCGGAGGCGTCCCCGTGAGTCCCCAGCGATAGTGCGCATGGATGCTGCGCAGGGACTCGAACTGGGCCGTGTTTCCCATGGCCTGGCGCGACGAAAAAAGCTTGCAGGAACTCGATCTGGTCACAGCCGTCGCCGTATGCCAAACTCAGAGCAGCAATCTATACGAATCTACGAATCTACATCCTAGCAATTCAAACAGCCATCGCAGCCATGCACACTGATTTCGGAGCGGTGTAAGAGAGCTGTAAATTCAACATGTCAGCCTTTCTGGGTCGCCTCCAACTCATGGAACTCATCCAAAACGATTCTCCTCCACCAAAGCTGCTCCAGCACAGGGAAGCTGAGCTGTGAGGGATCATTGATCTCCTCACCTCAGCAACGCAGCATCGGCGGCTTTCGTCTTCTGCGGCTTGTGGCTTTTGGCCTGTGGCCTCGCCACAAAGCCCGGAAACACATGTTGCGGGCTGGGTTGTGTACATCCAAGTCCCCTAGTTCTTCCAGTTCCTGACCGCAAAAGCCAATGTTTCAGCCGGTCTTCGAACGCAACAGCCTTCACACATCTCCGATACATTAGACTTCTTATGACCATTGATCCCTTGCAATACCGGCTGACAGGCTTCTGGTCTAGACTGGATTTGGACCCCTTTCTCCAAACAAATCCCTTACAAGGAAGCCCTGACTCTGTTCTAAAATCTAGATGAAGAAGAGTAGCAAAACAAAGAACATAATCATTACAATATACACCACTTTCTTGGACAAAAGCAAGACTCATAATAATACAACAACTACTACGATGGCTGCCACTACTGCTAGTGTATATATGTATATATACTTACTACTGCTTCTGCTCCCACCACCGCTAATTACGACCACTACAAAGTCAACCACATCTTTTCGCCCTGCTGTTGCGGGACATCTCCAAGTCACCCCAAAGCAAAGACCTCACATCCTTGGATTGGCAAACAAGAGATCTCGACTCCGATCGATATACCCAATGACTGCGCACTGCCCGCAACTGAACAAATTCACCACTTGGCTACTAGGACTTAGGGAGCAGCTGTGAGTTTTCCAAGTCGAAAATGTTTAACTAGCAGGGTATTTCTCCAAGTGTTTGAAACCCATGATGAGGTGCAGTTTTCATTGGCTGATGTTGAATAAATGGTTGGCAGTTGTGAGCTCGGGGGCCTTCTTTCGTGCGATGATCATTTCTGCACAAAGCAGAAGGTCAGGTCATTGACAATCGCATCTGGGTGCATCTGGATTGTTTCATTGAGATGCCAGAAGCACAAAATGTTCGTAATGACTTGAAGAAGAAACGGAATAAGAACAATCAAACAAACACATGAAACAAGTCCACAAAAATCCACCCCTGAAGATTGACCTAATATATCCGCGCCCGACAATCTGTTAGGTTGCAGTAGTCCAAGGATGTTTCCTGTGAAGAGCTCTCCGCAATCCCTGAGTACGGTGACCGACGTCATCGTTTTCTCATGGATAATGGTCACAGGCCTGCCAGTTGATCCACTTGATTGTGTTCTCATGACTCATTTAGTAGCAAGGACCCTACTAGGTGGAGGCTATCTTTTTAAGGGTGGAGGCCATCCCATCCATCGCTACTAGTAACAAGAAGCTACTAGTAGCATTGTGAGCGCGCTTTCCCAGTCCCGGGTGAAATCCGGTGGGAAGTTTTCATGTCTTCGGGTTGCAAGAGTGGTGCTCGGAACAGCTTGACTCCTTGACTCCCAAACCAACGCTGGGTCCAAACCTCACAAATACAGTGAATCAAACATTACCCAAATCTCCTGCAGGTCGGAAACAAGTCCTTCAGCAGCCTCTTCCTCTGCTCGGTGTAATTTGTTTTACATGCCACTCCCTGTCACCCCGAAGTTTGGCTCAAATATAAGGCTGTGGGTCCAAACCAATATATCTTGGTTGATCTGCATAGGAGGTCAAGCCGCATGATGGACCAGGGCTCCAGGTGAACCCTGGAGCCATATCCATAACTCCATAACTATAGACCTATATAGGTATAATGTATAAATATAGTAAGTTTATGTATACTATATATATATATATGTATGCCCATGTGCACGTCGTGGTCACTTCTCTCTGCCCAAGTCTCTTCGCGAAACCGCCGCGTGTTCCGCCGCAGGCTCCGCAGATCCACTGGGCCGGTCTCAGTCGTGGCTTGGTCGGTGGTCTCGACGGCGAGGGCGAGGCCGGCCAGCTGCTGGAGACGGTGGCGGTAGACCTTCGAGTACAAGAGGCGATAAGAGCAAAGCACCAAGGCCTGAGTTTGTGTGGAATCTGTGAAACTGGTGCCGGACACGTGTTTTGTAGAATGGCAGTGCAGGATCCGAGAGTTGGGAGTTCTCTTGGATGCGGAAGGAGGATGAGGATCAGGATTGCTCATCATTAATTGGGAAGGTGCTGAGATCTTGATGACATGTTCCTCCAGTTTAAGCTAGCAGCTAGCATGGAATCTGCATGGACATAGTTTTGGCAAACAATACTCCCCGATGCACCTAAAACTCGGCCATATCTCGTTCATTTTCTGTTTGGTTTTTCGCGGAAGTGAAACATGGCAGTGGAACTGGTGCAAAAATAGCCTGGTTTTGAAGGATTCAATCAGTCGTTGGGGTAGGACAAATGCCACAATCATGTAGACGAGGGTCCAATGAAAAGTATCCTTCAAGCCTACCCCCAAACTAGGGTAACTATACTAATTATACTGAGCAAGTCTAATGAGATTCTAGTGAGACACTGAAAATACACATATACATATATACATACATGAAGCACATGGATCAGGCACTTCTGCACGGATCATACGGATTCCACTGACACTTCGGTCCAGTTCTTGCACCTCTTTGGTCCAGACCTGGTCAACATGGCCATGGCCTGTCTTCCGCTGGCTGAGTGGAAGACTTCACACGGAAGTGCAGTTCACCGCCTGGCTGCCAAAAAGGAAGTCAGGTAGAGTGCTTCCAAGGAAGCATGTTTGCTTCCATGTTTTGGGGGAGTCAGAGTGACTGAGAGAAAAAATAACTTAATGGTTTCATGGTAATTGCCACTAAACCCATGACATCGTGAAACAAATTTGGTTAGATGATACCTTGGCTGCTACTCCATTGGCAAAATCAGCTTCCCAATCCACACCGCCCTCCGATTGTTGTGCGACCCGGTAACTGCGTCGCAAAGCTGTGCCACAGTGAGGGACTTGAGATTGGCCACCGTTTTGATGGCAATCACCTGGGGAGGCTCACGGGTGAAAGCAAGTGAACTGTATGGAAAAGTGATATACTGGGACAACCCACCAACAAAGGAATGGCGCTACAATTGGCTTTTTGTGGGAAGTATTTTGTATGCGTATGTATATGCGTATGTACAGGTATACATGTGTACAGCAATGTCTACAATAATTAGTATCCTGGCTTTTGAGTCATATGAATGCTTCTGAGGTCTGGTGAGGCACGTGCTCTAGGGGATTCTTTGGATCAAAAGCCGTGGTATCATGGTGTATCTGGGACTCTCCGCACTGTCTTGACCACAACTCTGCACTACATGTAGAAGCCCTTTCTCATTGTCTCATATCAATTCAGAGTTGGACCAACATCTGCACCACCTCTGCTTTTTCAAACAAGGTGGCCCTATGTGTGCATATATATATATATACACATGCATCTATTTACACATATCAATACATATCCATATATTCACATATACTGTCACATATATATATATATATATACATTGTATTTTTTGTGGGGCGGGGCCATGTCCCATGACGCAGTCCTTTTCGCGTCGCCAGTGCACCCGGCTGCTTACTTCCTCACGTTTGATCAGCCATCTTCGGTCACCGAAGTCAGCTGGAGGCCAAACTTGCAACCGTGGAGAAAAGATTGACCAGTCCAACATGATCAGGTCTGGCCATACCATGCCAGAACCAACGTCCACATCGTGCCGTGAACCAACCGGCCTTCATCGTGCCAGCGGTGAACTTTTGAATTTCCTTAGTTGACTGTTAGCGCCGCAGGGGGAGAACAAACAGAAACCCCCAACCAAACGACCACGGGCATCGTTTCTCTCCAGGTCATGAGGGTTTGGAAAACCCCTGCAGTGGGCATCTGCACACATGTGATGCTAAATGACTAGCTACTAGCGTCTGGGTGTTCCCTGGGGCAGGTTTGAGTCGAAAGCATGGATGAAAAGGACGTTCTCATGGCTACTGGGTGCTCCCCCCAACCGATGGAACGTACAGGTTGCCTGTACATTATATATAACAATTTTTCTAGTTTGGGGCTCAAAAGCATTGTCCAAGTTCACGTCTCCTTTGACCAGTGCGTTTTGGGTGGGCCTGCTTTTGTTGCCCCACTCCATGTTGGCGCCATGCTGACCAAGAAGCTCCAAGCCACTGTTCCAGCAGGTTTGAGGGTACTAACACCTCAGCAGAATTCTGTGACACGAGGGAACATAAAGCTATCGCTTCTAGTGCTTCCTCACTGGATATATGGACAGCTCAACTCTCAGTCAGAGTCTGGTTGGCAAAGCCTATATACACGTTCACCACAGTGGGAACACGTTCACCAGCCGCGTGAAGATCCAAGTTCGGGCCGCCGACCGCTCTGAAGGGTGATCACACGACACGAAGGACTCAAGGGGAAGATCAAGTCCAGGGCCGGCACCGGGACTCAAGGGAGAAGTCCCTACATGTTGCAGGGATGCAGGCCTTCTGTTTGGCATGGTGTTGAGGATGTCTTCCACAAGGCAGGCAGCGGAGCAATCACCAACGAGAGTGAAGCAACAGGGCAACCACCAATCTTGCAAGGGGACCAATTTGGACAAACCAAGGGCCCCGCCCCCTGGCCGAAGCCTCCTCCGCCTAGCAAACTCAATCTCAACATCTCAGCTCAGAGAACCAAATCTTTCAATCCTATACCCCAACTCCAAAACATGAAAAACATGAAGCACAGCATTTTTGGGTACAGTAACTCAGTAGATAGTAGTTGTATATCGAACTTGCCGTGAATTGCCCACTCTATTTTCAAGGTTCACCTCACTTATATGTTTGATTCAGCATGATACCAATCTTCCTTGAGATTCTTCCGCTTCAAATCTTCGCCACTTTGTGTGATTGTCTCCATCCAAGCCACTAGGCTGGCCTTGGAGTGAAAGAAGTAGGGCTGCTGGTCACTGGGGATCTCAGGAGGGCCCTCCACTCCCGCATCCACTAAGCCGATGGTGGTGGCCGTCTTGCCGTAGCCTGGGGCGTCGCCTAAGATTCCACCTGGCCGCGGGGTCGGTGGGGACACCCGAGCCCGAGCCACGGACGGCACTGAGCAGATGGGAGGGGATCTCTGGCGGCTGAAACAGATCGAACTTCACATGCTCTGCTCCAGCCGGAAATGGCTCTTGGACTCTTGAATGCAACATATCCAAGCAAAACTATTACGCCTTGCTACACTGTTTCTCTTCATACCACTAGTTCACCAGTCTGATGAGCAAAGCGCTCTTCGATTTTTAAATCACTCTCAACCAATTTGGATCCTATTGGGTCCTCTCACGATGAGATGCTGGACTCGCACAAACCCAACACCTGGACTCAAACCAAACAATCCCGAGCAGCATCACGGTCCGCTTTCATGCCGCGGCGGGGAAGCCCCCAAAACACATGCTAGCAAAACTCCGAAAACAAAATTGCCCAATTTACCCATGCTACGGTGGAACGCCATGCGCGCCATGCGCGCGGGAAGCGCCTCGAATGTTGTAAAAGGCCCGGTGCACGACCTCAATCTGCCAGTGGAGCTCCTGTTCTGGCGGGCCAGTGCTGATGAAGAGGAACCTGCAAAAAACAAAACAACGTACCCAAGCAGTAGCTTACTTTACTGCAACCTTTTAGATGGTGCCGGCTTTCCAGCCAAATTCTCTCCGAATACACATGGCACGTTTCTGCCTGCACAGAGTGCGAATGGCCCCTAACCAGCTAGTAGCAGCTGATGAACCCCAAGTTGCATTCTGGAGGGCCAACCACAAGACCATAAGCCGATATGTACATGTCATTACTCCCAAATTCCATTGTGCCAAGGCTGGATCAAAAAGAGACCTGTAAGAAAATCAAAAAAGCAGCACAGGGCAACTGGACATCTCCCGCATGCCAAAGGTTTTCGAAGGCCATGCATGGGCTTGCCTGCCCTGATGCTGTTCATTCTTGCTGCTGTGTAAGACTCTAACTATGATAAAAATCGATCTCTTCCATCGGGCCCTTGGACGTTTCCTATCATAATCCCATCCTTCAAGCAAGCTTGGTCGTTTGGACACGGACATGTCACTCTCCCCAGGCCCCCCCCCTGCGCGCCCGGTGCTGGGGTGCTTGCACGTGGGCCGGCGGAATCACCTGCGCCTCGGTGAGCCAGCTTGGGAGCCTCAAAGGCATCCATAGCAGCCACTATAGCCACTATAGCTGGCCCAGAACGAAAGGAATCCATGATTTTCACGACAGGAGACTGATGTGTGATGTGTGTGTGTGTCCACTCCTGTTTCCAAGGACACTACTCTAGTTCTCGTTCTACCCTACCCTACGAATCGTCCAATCACTGTACAGCAGCAGGGGGCCAGCGCATGGCATCACGACGCTGGCCAACGAAGCTAGTGATGTCATGGGAAGCAGTCAGAGACGTCTGACTGTGTACCTGCAATTTTTAATATACATTAAATTATTACTTTTTGTTGAAATATTCAAGTCAGCGGACTTTGCATTTCTTTCCGTTGAATCAAGTCAAGGGCTAAGTATTCACCTAAAGGGCTAATGCACACCGCGAAGCAGCCTGAAATCACGCTCCACGGAGCAACCTTCTCAAGTGTGTTTTCGCAGCTTCTTCCCACTGTGGTAAGCTGTGTGATCCCTACGGGGCGCCGTTACTGCGAGAACCTTCTCACTCCTCACCGAGGGAGTAAGTTTTCTGAATTCTCTCTGAAGTTCCTTTGACTGAATTTTACCTGCTCGAAATCAGCTTGGATCGTTTCACCCCGCACATGTGAAGATTACTGCAGAGTACACTGAAATCCTTTCTGAATCTCACTGCAGAGTTAACTGAAAATGTTTCACCCGGAAATCCATTCCTTTCAAATCCTTTTAACTTTTCAAGTTTTAATTCAATTTTCCAGAGTTTAATTGCGGTCAGTAAATACACTTCACAACTTTTTCGACCTCACGGACCTCTATTTATTTTCATACATACATATTTTGATTGTCTTTGACTTGCCGAGCAGCCATGACGTATCCCTGGCCCTATTCCTTACCGCCACACATCCATCAGCAACCACAACCTGCACAACCCCATTGGATTCAATACCCACCACAGGCTCCACCACAACCTTTTCCAACACTACCACCGTCTCCACCACAACACCCAACCTCACATCATTATCCATTTCCCACTCCACCTCCACCTCATGCCCAATACATCCAACCACATCAATTACAGGCACATTTTCCAGTACAACCCACGGTTCCTTTCGACACTACCCAACTTACGCAACAACATCCGCATCTCACAATACAACCACCACAATCCCAAGCTCACACACATTCCACATTGCCACTTCAATCTCAACCTCAACCACCACTTCTGCCTCCTCAACCACATCTATTACATCAACTACATCCATCACCACACACGACAAATCAATCCCCAGCCGCACCATCAATTCAACCACCACCACCACAAGCACCTGTTTTACCACAAGCACGAGCACCTGATCCAACAACAATCACTCCACCACAGTTGGCCACACCAACTCCACCACCACCACCTCACACTCCAACAGCCCCACCAGCGGCTACTCAACCGGCTTCCGCAACCATCACCACACCCGCACAGCCTCTGCCACCACACCACATACCACGCACTACCAAGCCAACACCTTCCATTGCACCTACACTTAGCACTACAAGAGGCATTTGGCGCGACCCAGATCGCTCACCACCACGCACACCTGAACATCACCGCTACTCAGCTTTTCCAGCCGTTCCCACCATTGCACCATCACAAGCTACATCCAGATCCAGGAGCCGCACTCGCTCACTACGCACTACACGCTCTCCACTACCACGACGTCGAAGCTCCCCCACACAATCCGTGGCTAGTTCTCAACCACAATCCAAGCCTGCAGACAGACAAACATCACCATCACCAGCAATCACCCAGGACA